GAGACAGAAGCTGGCTGCAGAACCTGGATAGAACATGGCAAGAGAACCTGACTAGAAACTGGCGACCGAACTTGGCCGGAGAACCTACAGAACCTGGCAATAGAACCAGGCAAGAGAACCCAACCATGCTGATCAACTGAATGCTGCCTCTGTGTCGTTCCTTCTTCGCCGACTCCGTCTACACCTTTGGGAACCCCTGGATGTGCTGGGGTTGGACCCCAGCATTTAAGTATTTATTTCCAAATATTAGTGATTTCTAAACACAAAAAGTGGATTGTGTGCATATGAAGGGGTTGGGGTATTGGTGTGGAAAATAACTGGGAGGTGGCAAAAAGTGTGTTAGTCATTGCCACCAGCCGAATTTACTGAGTTAACATGGCCAAGGTGATTTTTAAGAACATTAACCTGAATCTGAACCATCATTCTAAGTTCGTAAAAACACTCAAATATGAAGTTTTAAGTATAGTATTGAGACTGATTTATCAATGTTACTTAGTATAAAAAAAGTCTAAATATTTTAATATGTCCAAACATTTTCTCCAGAAACATTTAAAATTATTTTACAGGTCATTTTGTCAGTCCTATGATATGAAACAACATTCTACCAAGGTTTTTCGTGATATTGTGAATGCACTGGGCTCTTTTATCCAATCATTGTTTCTTGTCCCTCCTACTGGAAATCCTGCTACTGCAAACCAAGCTGGTAAAGGCTCATTCATATTTTCATTTTTATGTTCTGTCACAGTTTACAGTAATCACTAGTCTGAGAAGATGTTTTATAGATATCCTTGACTAGAGAAATGTAATTACTTAAATGTATTATATCTATTTTATAACATTTTGTTATATTCATTTATAATATTTTATATTTTATATATGAGTGTAAAGACACATAAAGAATAAGTTGAGCTCACATTGGCAACTGTGTTTATTTCTCTCAGAATATGTTTTCTGATATATATGTTTAGTTACTCTAATCACATAACAAAAGTTTAGATGCTAATCTTCATTTTAGAACTTACCTCATTTGGTGTCTCACTTTAAAAAGTCTGGTTATTATGTTAGATCTTTTAATCTCTCTTTTAACAAAACAGGTGAACTTGATTTAAGTTTGGCAAACAATGTCTTCTTGTTTCCCTTCTTTTCCACTTTTTACTGTCTGATCAGTGGCTTTTTATTTTTTATTCTCACCTCTGATAAAAAGTGATTAATGAAAGGTATATTATAAAGTTTGTATTTTTACTTATTAGAAAAAAGGAAATGGTGCTTTGATGAAAGAGGGATACTCTCTAATAGCCAAAGTAGGATTGATAAATTTCATTTTTTTGTATAATATCCATTTATATAACATAATTTTAAAAAATTGATCAGGTATTTAATATTATTGATTTGTAATTAAGTAGTAACATGGTATCTTTGTTTTCATCCCTTAATCCAAAAGGAAACAATAATGCAGGTGGCACTGTCTCAGCACCAGCTAACCCGGGAATGTTGGGGATTGGTGGAGGTGTTACTTTACTACCAGCCTTTGAATATAGAGGAACTTGGATACCTATTCTGACTATAACAGTACAAGGCAGTGCTAAAGCAACATAGTAAGTAGTAATAGCATTATTTTGTAAGGAAATATATTGTTGGGAATGATATTTTATCCTAAAATGTTTCTCTCTGCATTATATTTTAAATTCAGACTTAGTATTTTAAACACATTTTAGAACTAATTATCTTTTGCCGTATTTTGAGAAATTATTTAAGACTGGACTTTTTTTTTTTGGTACTATTTGTAGGTTGTTAGCAGCATTATAAAACAAAACGTGATTTCTTTACCTAAGGACCTATTCAGCTATCTGTATGGAGTTTTAAGTATATGGCTTGATTTCACACCATGTGAACTTAGGTTCTGTAATACTAGCAAATTAGTTCACCTTTTAGAAAATTTAGTTTCCTTATCTGTGAAAAGAGACTAGAGATATATTAACTTTTCAGCCAGAAATTATTGGGTATTCTTTTGCACATGGATTAATTAGTATGTTCACATTGGAGCTTCCCTGTTGAATTGGTGTCTTTCATTAATTCATTGTGAGGTTCCGTCTAAAATTATTTTCACTATTTTCTTTGGAAGCAAGGCACAGATATAAATCTTAATTGTGTGTTCTGTTCTTTTAGACTTTTAAGTGTGTAATAATTTGAAAAGTTAACTGATGTATAGACAAAAGTAGTTTTGACATAAGTATTGGTAACATTCTTTTAGATTTATTTCAATATGGCTTTCTTCAAAGTTGGGCTTGTGACGCTTTTTGCAATATGACCTTAAGTTTAAAATATTTAAATAAATGTGTTACGTTTTATTTAAAAGTAGAATTGATGTAGTAATTCTAATAAAATAGCACTGAAATGGTTAGGTAAGAAAGTGTGGGCTTTGTTTTAGGTTTGTGATATAAATAAAAAGTATAGATTACCTTTGTCTCTTACCTATTTTAGAACTTAAAGTCTATACCATAGAATTTGGGAATTAGAATTTTTTATATTTAGGACTATTTTTATCTGTTTTAATTGCATTTTACCAGTAGGTTATATGTTCTTTAAAAATAGAGATTTGTTAAACAAGATGCTTAACATTTATTGGTTTAGTACAGTGATGGCGAATGTTTTGAGTTCGGCGTGTCAGCATTTTGAAAAACCCTAACTTAACTCTAGTGCCGTGTCACATATAGAAATTTTTTGATATTTGCAACCATAGTAAAACAAAGAGATATTTTTGATATTTATTTTATATATTTAAATGCCATTTAGCAAAGAAAAATCAACCAAAAAAATGAGTTCGCGTGTCACCTCTGACACGTGTGTCATAGGTTCGCCATCACTGGTTTAGTATGTGACTCTATGAGGTTAATTAGTCTGATAAGGATTAGACCCAAAAACTTTACCCATTTAAGTAAATTTCTTGCTCAATAATATACATATATTTTTATTGATTACCTGAATTTTACAATGCTCAGAGTTGCCACTTCTTAGGGGTTAAATTGATAGGCTTTAGAATCAGACTTGGGTTAAAAACTGCTGATTAATAACTGTATTGCCTTAGTCCATCATCCAGGGTTTTTGTAAGGAGTTAAATGAGATAATCCTATATAATAATAGACAAACATGGTAATTAACCGTAGCTCCGACATGCTTCCCATTGGCTAATCAGGGTGATATGCAAATTAACTGCCAACAAAGATGGCGACTGGCAGCCAGGCAGCTGAAGTGAACAGGAGGATTGCTTGCTCCAGTGATGGAGGAAGCCAAGGTTCCCCGCCTGCCAGGCTCTGAGCTGCACTCTAAGAATCAATGTTGCAATTATAGAAGCTAAACAAACCCCAGAAACCTGGGCGGCGGTCAGTGCTTGAGGCTGTCCGTGGTGTGGGATCCCGATCCATGACTTGGCGGGCGGGGGGCAGCGCTGGAGGCTGTCCGCAGTCCTGGGACCTAGATCTGTGACCCTGCCGGGCGGGGGGCAGTGCTTGAGGCTGTCCGCGGTCCCGGGCCCCGGATCCGTGACCCTTCCCAGCGGGTCGGCAGCTTGCACAGGGGCGGATTGGCCGGGGTTGGGCAGGGCAGGACAGCAGCGCAGAGAGCCTCTGGACAGGGGAGGCAGGCCGGCGGAGGGCAGCCTGTACTCCCCACATGGCGGTGGTGACAGCTGTGAGAGTGCCAAGTGGAGCCTGCAGGCTGAGCTGAAGTAGCGCCTGCAGGCCATCAGCGCCCAGGAGTGGCTGCGCAAGATCCACCTCCTGTCCCAGAAGGTGCAGGATCGCTTGCAACAGTTCCAAAACAAGGCGTGCACAAGTTCCCTCCGTCTCTCTACCGCACTTCCATCAACCCGGCATGCCTAACACACCCACAGGATGTGGACACATCCCCTCTGATGCGCTCATGTCCTTTGGAGAGTGTCTGGGTGTTCTGGGTGCTGAGGGTGAGCGCCTGTGAGATGACAGTGAGAGGGCGGAGTGGTGATGCCCTGTTCCCACAGAGGCCAGTGCAGCTACGAGATCACCTCTGGGGGGTTAATGCAGGTGCTGAGGCAGGAGCAGTTGCAGACAGACACACCTGGGGGGCGGGGGCGGGCCTC